CGGGTTGTCTGAATAAACCATCAAAGAAAAAAAACCCAACAATGACTTAGCAGAGTTTCCAATTAACATGCTCGACTAGATTGAATACAATCTTTTTTGAAGGAATATCTGTGATTTATTAAGATAAGATTTTACAGATAAACTGAACTTTAAAAGCCTGGAAAACCTGTTATATTCTGTAGTAGGCCTCTTCTATCTAAGGAAGTCACCACAACCATCTCTCAGTATTATACATGTGTGTGTGCGTTGCGTGCTTGTGTGTGTGTGTATGATAGTCTGCTGAGGCCAGTGCAGTGTCCTATTCATCAATGTTTTCACAAACAATATCTATATAGCAGACGTGTTGGACATCAGAAAGTGACAGCGTTACATTTATTTACAGAGTCGACCTACAACTAAATGAGTCACACACAAATGGCTGCTGAGAATGTTTGAAAGTCAATCACTAGCAGTTTAAATGTATTATATAGCGGTATTAACGCTAAAACCAGCGAAAACATCGGAAGCCTACAAATACTCATACTAACGGACCGTTTTCACGAGAACATACTTTATTCACTTTGTAGTTCACTTTGGCAGGAAAGACAATATCAAGGAGTCAGTGAAACAGACTCTAATCCTGTCAAATAACAAAGAGAAATGGAGGTGCCCCAACGACAAAAAACTAGGTGAACTATTTTTGTCGACTAGAGTAGCCGACCTTGGAGTTAACTTTTGAACTATTTTTATATTCCCATTACTAGCTCATTATTTTGTCAACATAGCGGAACAATCAGGAGCCGTTGACCTATAGTGAGAAGGAGCAGTTTGAACGTGAGGATAAGGCCAAGCGTGAGGAACACGAGAGGTGGAAAGAAAGAGATGCCAGGGAGGAACTCAAGAGGAAAGAGGAGATGGAACTAGAAAGAATGAAGGAAAAGTCAGGAACAGCGGCTTGGACGGCTACACAGGCAGAGGTGCGGCCTAGAAATGTTTTAGATAAACTTGACAAGAGCTTCCAGGGAATGAAGGAAGACGATGACCTGATGGCATATTTAACACACTTTAAGGCCGTCGCAACAAGATGCAAGATCGATAGAAAGGAATGGCCATTGCTCTTGTCCTATAAACTAACTACCGTTCTAAGAAACTGTATGCTGCGGGACAGTCTGTTTTTGAATGACAATTATGAGGAAGTGAGGGCTGTGTTACTCCGACATGCCGATATAAACGCGGAAACCTGCCGCAAGAGGTTCCACCGGGTGAAACCACGCCAGAACGATTTTAGAGGTTTTGTCACAGAGCTGCGAAATGCGTTGGACAATTGGTTGAAAATGGCTGAAGTAGGCAAGACTGTGGAAGAAGTGAAAGAGTTGCTAGTAAAAGATAGGATACTTGAGAATGTGTCTGGCGATGTGTACAAGCAACTGATAATAAGTAAGAAAGGCACGATTGATGATATGATTGATGTTATTGAAGGTTTCAAGGTTGCTAGTGCGGGTGTGTCACTTGCTAAGGAAGACAAAGTGTATGTTGCGGCAGCGTGTAGAGAGCCTGTGAGGAATCGGAGTCCTGGGGGCAAAAGGATGGAAATCGCTTGCTTCAGTTGGCAGATCCTGTAACAGCGCTGATCTCAAACTCTATCGTGGGGTTTTACTTCGATAGTTCAATTAGGAAGTGAGAAACCCCAATGTGTCATTTGTAACGAGGTTCTATCTGCCGGATCTTTGAAGACAAACAAACTGAAACGTCATTTAGATGGCAAGCACCCTGGTTTTGCTGACAAGGACATCCAATATTTTAGTTTTAAAGCTGACAGACTTAAGAATGCTAGACTTGACTCAGGTAGCAAGTACCATAATTAAATCTTAGCAGCCGTTGAGGCTTCTTATTTGGTGGCTCTAAGAATTGCCAGAGCTATGAAACCTCACACCATTGCAGAGGACTTAATATTGCCAGCGACCAAAGATATTGTTCAAGTTATGATAGGAGCCGAATTCGTTACAAAATTGAGTGCAATTTTCTTTATCTATGACACTGTTCATAGGAGAACATTTGACATGTCTGCTGATATTATTGATCAGGTAATTCAGGAACTGATATCTTCTCCACTTCCAATATTTAGAATCCAACATGATGAATCCACAGACGTTGAAAGTTGTTCACAATTACTAGTATACGTGATATATATATATATATATATATATATATATATATATATATATATATATATATATATATATATATAAATAATGTCGATTTTAAAGAGGAGTTTCTATTTTGCAAACCTCTTGAAACGACTACTAGCGCAAGTGATGTATTTGACAAAGTTTATTCATTTTTGGAAAAGTATAGGATCTCTTGGAAAAATATTTGTGGTGTCTGCACAGATGGTGCTCCAAGTATGCTTGGATGTTTGTCTGGATTTCAATGTTTGGTACAGAGTGAATCACCGAAAGTGATCGGAACTCACTGTATGATTCATCGACCAATATTAGCAACGAAGACACTACCACAAGAATTACAAAAAGTAATGGAAAACGTTGTTAGTTCTGTCAATTTTGTGATCCAGTGCTTTGAACAGTCGATTGTTCTCATAACTTTGTAATGATTTTGACGTATCCAACAATGTTCTGCTATTTCACACTGAAGCGAGATGGTTGTCGAGAGGAAAGTTCTTAAACGTGCTTTTGACCTACGTGAAGAACTAGAACTACTTTTTAAAAAGAAGGAAAAACCCCATTTGGCAGCACTTTATAGCGATGAAAATGAACTACAGATAATAGCCTACCTGGTTGACATCTTTGCCATCTTAAATGAGTTAAATTTATCACTGCAAGGATTAAATACAACATGTCTTGATTTGTCTGAAAAGATTCGATCCTTGGCAAACAAAATTGGACTAAAAAAAAATGTATATGTTGCCAACATTATCTGCGTTGTATGAAGAAAATGACATTGAATCTGATAGAAGGAAGACATTTAATAATTTCAGTGAAAAAACATTTGCGAATGCTTAGGTAGGAAATTTCATCCTACTTTTCAAATCTACCTGGCATCCCTTTTGCACTTGCCAGAAGTCAAAGGTGAAGATGTTCATGAGACGTCACAGGAAGAGTTTATTGACCTCATTGTTACGAAAATTATATTCTGTATTGGTTATCGTTCTTATGTTTACATGTGCTTGTAACTCGTCGAAAAGAATGTGTTCACGAAATGTGTGTTGTGTAGTCATTCAGTGTATTAAAGCCATGCTATACAGACATGGTTTTCGACTCTCTTATCTTTATGTTCATAACACTCATCAATAGCGATGCCGCTAAAAATGATTTCAATTGAAATGTCAATTACACATTAGATTAAATGTTTGCAGTCTTATCCCATTCTGTCTGAGATTGTGTTGTGAATGCTTCTTCTATTTCCAACAACATATCTTTGTGAAACAGGGTTTTTCAGCTTGTTAGTTATTAAGTCGAAATTCAGAAGTAGACTTGATGCAGAAAAAAATCTAATTAAACAAAAACAAGCTCAACCATCTCATTAAATGTGGCGTGTTTGTAAATACTGTCGTAACAATATTTCTGTAACAACGTAATTTACTGTATCAAAAACTGTACTCCATACTTCGACACATTTGTCAAATTATCACTTAAGTATGCAACATGTATATTGTGAATATGTAATAGAAAAGTAAATAATTGCAAGTCTGAATAATAAACTTTAAAAAAGCTTAATTATACAAGCAAACGTTAATTTTACACTGAATACAATGAGATGAATGCTGGGCATTAGCTGTGGTCGGAAAGATGTTGCCCACACATCAGTTCCCCCTTTCCACGCAGCTGATGTATCCAAAGGAACGGCAGTGCCGATTAACTGTTGTTGTTTTTTTTCATTGATTCATGTGTTATGAATCCTGACTCTAATCTCTTGATTGGTGATGAGATATTTCTGTAGCATCTCAATTCGATTGCTCAAGTTCTGCAGCCGCCGTTCAAGAGTATACGTTTGGTCCATATATACAGCCCCATATCTCAATAAGTAGAATATCTTTCCCTTGTTCGATGTCTGGCAAAGGTACGTAGATCTACCTTTACACTAATAGAGTTAAACAGGGGTAGAAGCATAAAAAAATAAACAGCAATTAGGGGGAAGAAAATGTGGTCGTCCTTGCCTTTCATCAGCATCAATTGGAGTGTATGGTTATCTTCTATCTTATAAAATACAGACGTTACTTCAAAAAAAAAAAAGGAGATGAATATGTCCTACACTTCATGCGTATTATACATAACCAACTGTTAGTTAGGGTTAAAACTATGTAAAGCACTATGATGTTAAATTTGGTTCCCTGACATCATCATACGAGACATTTCATTATTATAGCAATTCATCATTGGACATTTCAACATTATAGCAATTCATCATTGGACATTTCAACATTATAGCAATTCATCATTGCAAATTTCAACATTATAGCAATTCATCATTGCACATTTCAACATTATAGCAATTCATCATCATAACCCTAACTCTAAATGTGCAATGATGAATTGCTATAATGATGAAATGTTGCAATGATAAAATGTCTCATATGATTAGATCTCTGGTCACCGTTAAGTTTATGTCACTCCAAAACACTTTGTAAATAGGTTGATTGGGTAATCCACACTTGCGGAATAGTAAAAGATAATATTTTAAAAAATAAAAACTGTGACACAATAGCAATGAGACAAATCTTCTTTCTCTTTCTTGAACATAATAGCCTGTTTTATTTAGTCAAATATTTCCAGAAACAATAATTTTCTTTAACATTTTTAAAACTTCAATTTAAATCACACAGATTACTAACTTCCAAACATTTCATGTGCAGCGCCAAAATATATACACTTGCAATTCTACATATAGGCCTAGATACATATTTAATAGACATTACACAAATAAATATCCCGCATGCAACACATAAAAAATTCAATCTAAATATAAATTAATTCATTAAATAAAAAAAAGCAGTGAAGTCTTGCAAATGAATTGGGGCAGTAGTTTGAGTTGTAATAGGGGTCAATGTGATCATAGGATAAGGACAGCTTTATAAATCTTTATTGGAAATGTGTTATGATTGCAAAGTCTTTTTTTCAATTAAAATAAAAATTCCACAAAAAGAGAAAAGACTAAACATTCCACAAAAAGAGAACATATACAATATTCCACAAAAAGAGAAAAGACTTAACATTCCACAAAAAGAGAACAGACATAAAAACAAAAGTTTATTGAGCCACTACATACATACATCTTAATGTTTTAGCTCACTTGCTGATCTAGTCGTGATTTCCAACTGATTTATGCGGTTATACCCTACTCCAATATGGTTGTGAAAGTTGGACACTGACAAGCTGAGGCTGAATGGAGAATTCAAGCCTTTGAGAGTAAATTCTACAGAAAATGTTGGGTATCAAATACCAGGAAAAGAAGACAAAGAGTTTTCACTTTTACAAGTCAACTCTCTGGCTGGCAATTCTGTGAGAGATGAAAGCTGAGCTGGTTTGGTCACATTGTAAGACTCACTGTCAAAAGTCATTTTTCATAGTATAGTGGAAGGAGTATGAAGAAAGGGTCATCCAAATAAAAGTTGGCTGGACAACGCTAAAGATTTGACCGGCTTCTCTTTTGATATCCTGCTAAGAACAGTTGCTGACCAAGAGAAGTGGAGGGACTTTTAGTTGCACGAACTGGTCACAGCACCCCTACGACGAAGGTCAAGTGACAGATGAGAGAAATGTTACAGTAAGCATTTATTTTTTAAAATGATAAAAGTGCAGAGCTTTAAATAGGACATGAGGATTCCATCAGCATCAAGCTAATGAAATGAAGGTTACAATGATCTGATTGTCCAGAAAACTGCAGCACACATATGAAACACTGTAACCATAGAACTTAAAAGTGCAGGCACATGACAAAATGTGTACCAATGAATCAAATGGGTATCTAAATATTTATCATTTGGCTTGCAACTGAAGAACAAAAGAAAGCAAGAACAGCTGTTTTTATTCAAAATGCACATTAAAATTTCTATTAAAAAATTAGCATTAAAATGATTGGTCCTGTCACTTCATTGAGACAACTCATCTCCACAATAATGCGGAATCAACAGTATCTTTCTTTCCAAACTTCCGAGTACTAGTTACTTTGTTCTGCCAACAACATTACAAAACCTTGGCCTTTTCAGCAGTTGATCTTCTTTGTTCAAGACAAAAGTATGAGATAAGTTGGGATTGCTGGGGACACAATATAAGTTTTTATACAAATTGAATTGAACATCTAATTTTCAAACATAAAAAACACTTTAAGTAGGTAAACAAAAATTTAGTAAAATTATGAAGTGTCCTTAACATTTTTTCAACAAGCATTCATACCATTCCACATTCTCACTACCCAGATAAGACCATAAGGCATGTTACAGTATGTCCATTAAGGAGACAAGACCATAAGGCATGTTACAGTATGTCCATATAAGAGATAAGACCATAAGGCATGTTACAGTATGAAAGACATGCTAGACATAAGCAAAAAAAAAGTGAAAAACTTACGATAATAAAATCTCCATTGTATGCTGTGTATCTTTAGTTTTTCTGTGGTTCTTACCCAGCAACAGAGATTCAATGGTATGACACTGAAAGACAACAACAACAACAGTATATACAAACTCAGAACTTACTTTCACATTAACACCCATATTAGTGTCCATGTTATGCAAACTATTTAAGAATGGTGTCCATGTTATGTGAAATATTTCAAAGCATGTCAATGTTCTGTTAACTATACCCTTTGTAACAATTATTGTATTGTAATAAAATACATCCCATATACTAGATTTATTTGTATGTATGAACAGTATCACCTAAAAAACAAAAATGGCTAAATTATTTTTTTAAGAGTATTGGAGATATTCACTGAAAAGTAAAAATTCTCAAGACACTATTTTGTATTTTTTAAAAAATAACTTTCATGCTTACTGCAAGCTCATAGCGCTATTGTCCAATCTCTTTTATGAGCCTATTGGTGAGAGGGTATTGGGAAAAAAGTTTTCTGTGCTGCCTTTAGGCAATTTCACTCGAGTTGGGTGTACCTCCAAAGCCCCCTTGATAGGTAGCCAAGCCAAGACCAAGGAGTTTAAGCCATTTGACAACACAACCAACCACACAACCAACCAGAATTATTCAACTTAAAAGAAAAACAGCTTATCATCATTTTTTCCATTGTTTACACCAGATACCCCAAAAAAGTTACTATTTATAGTTTTTTACGCCATTTATGAAAATCTCAAATATGAGTAAAAAATAATACATTAGATTGTGATTGAACTAAAAAGGTTTCAAAGTGCTTTAAAAACAAGAAAAATGAATTTATATAAAAATACAGAAAGTCAACTGAAAATACCTTTTTATATGTGAGTAAAGCCTTTTCAATATTTCCCTGAGTCAAATAAATGCTGCCTATAAGTTTGTAGGTGTCAGCCACCTGTTCTGAGTAGTCTCCAAACACTTCACATTTAGATGGCAGACTTGACTGTAGAATCTGCATAGCTTCCTATTGTTTCATAAACAAGAAGATTTTTCAGGAAATTCATTTCTTTAACTTAGTAAAAAATAAAATAAAAGTCTTCAGGTAGTCATGACTATATGAAATGTCTGCTTAATGATGATTTCAAGTTATGATGAGATTTATAACTAAGCATTTATTTTCTCAGTATAAAGAAAGACACGGTGGCTGAGCGGTAAAGCGCTTGACTTCCGAACTGGGTGTCCCAGGTGTCAAGGTTCAAATTATATATATGCTTGTCTCTTGATGAATTATAATTGAGTAACTAAGAAAGTATCAAGCAAGTATTATTTAATATTCAAGAAACCCCTAGTGAGCCACAGGAACCAAGTCAAGAAACACAATAACAAGAGACAAGCATATATAAAATTTGAACCCTGACACCAGGTTCGAATCCTGGTGAAGACTAAGATTTTTTATTTCAGTAAAAGTGGTTGGCCATTGTTCTGGCCACATGACACCCTCGTTAACCATAGGCTACAGAAACAGATGACCTTTACATCATCTGCCCTATAGACCACAAGGTCTGAAAGGGAAACTTTACTTTTATAAAGAAACTTCAGAGTTACCATAGCTGCGCAGTCAAAAGACCAATATATTCAACCTGTGCATACTGTATGCAATAATGTTTTGTAATATAATCAATCTACGTTTGTAAAGAAATCAATGTTTTGTACCACTCATTTGTAGATCCCTATAGTGCAGGCATGGAAAAGCAATACAAAAAAAATGAAAAGCACAGAAAAAGTAAATATCTAATACATTGTGGATACATATTTAATTAAAATAAAAAACAACTTCTATAAATAATCCAGTATAATAGATCTATATGGTAAAACAAAGGTTTCTAGATTCAAAAGTGCAGTTTAACATTTCTCTTTTACAAACGTACCAAATAACTGCAGAAAATATTTAAAAATGTTGACATGTACAAAAGAGAAATACCAAGCCCCATGTCCAGACTAGTTTGATATATTTGTATAATGGCAGGATTAGTTTCCCTATCAAACCTTGCGGTTTAAAGGGCAGATGATGTAAAGGTCAGCTGTTTCTGTGACCCACGGTTATAGAGGCAGGATAATTGGAACAAAATTCAGTGTGCGAAAACTACCTGTACTTATTCTTCACGTTGCTAGCAATGACTAATTCCCCACATCTTGAACTTACACTTGTCTTGTCCATCCTGAGTAACATCTTAGCAAATTGTTCTTGCACTTCTAATGTCTTGGCATGGTTGGGGCCATGGATGGTTGTACATGATCTCAGGCAGTCCTCCATGTAACTTAAAGCTGAGCCTAAAGATGTAATACAATTTAAGAACATTTAGAAATAAACTTCTTAAAATCTGTTACTTATAATTCTACTAATTTTGTTTTTGTGGCTACAGTAAAGTAAATATTTTCAATTATCAAACTTATTTTATTAATAACTTATCTATAAATAACAAAAACGTATTGCAAATGGCAGAAACAATGAAAACTAATTTAAAACTAGCAGCTAATTTGTCCAAAGGAATGGTAGATACTGATATAGTTTGGGATCAGTGACATTGCTGGTTCTGTGAGGGTGAGGCTACAAGCTGCCAAGGGTCTTAGACTTACTTAGACTTAGGTCATCCAACGCCGTTCGGCGCATTAGGCGGCACGCTGTCTCCACAAAGATCTGTCACTTTGCAAAGGGTCAATAGCTCCTAATTTTTCTCAGGGTTGACTCCCCTGATACCCTTGCCATATATGGGTATATATGCTAGGAGGAGAGGTTTGAATTCAGAGTTCTCCTTTTCCTAGTTGAGTAACCAGCAAGGCTAATGAGCTACTTCTGCGCAAAGCACCAGTTTTTCACCATTGCCCTATTAGTTTCACTGTTCCCAATATCTGAGCCAGGATTTGGACTTGTTGTAAAGAGGCTAGGTGAGAAAACTGCTAGAGCAGAATGTTATGTTCCTTCCCCAAAACCTTGTTCCAGAACTTGATCTACACAATTTTTTTTTTAAATAATAAAAACTTTCTTCCCCTTCTTTCATCCTTATATGGTACAGCTCCATTTTTTATGTTAATTTTCATAATGGGGAATAGCATGTGTGAAATCTCATCATGCATGCTGGTATTGACTAATCAGATCCTCACACTGGTTAAAGAAGTACTTTCATCATACATGTAGGTATGGACAAATCAGATCACCACACTGGTTAAAGAAGAACTTTCATCATACATGTTGGTATGAACAAATCAGATCATCACACTGGTTGATGAGGTACTTTCATCATACATGTAGGTATGGACAAATCAGATCATCACACTGGTTGATGAGGTACTTTCATCATACATGTAAGTATGGACAAATCAGATCATCACACTGGTTGATGAGGTACTTTCATCATACATGTAGGTATGGACAAATCAGATCATCACACTGGTTGATGAGGTACTTTCATCATACATGTAGGTATGGACAAATCAGATCATCACACTGGTTGATGAGGTACTTTCATCATACATGTAGGTATGGACAAATCAGATCATCACACTGGTTGATGAGGTACTTTCATCATACATGTAGGTATGGACAAATCAGATCATCACACTGGTTGATGAGGTACTTTCATCATACATGTAGGTATGGACAAAT